TATACATAATCCCGAGGCCTCACCAGCCTAACACAAACTCCTCTCTTCTATTATTTCCTTCGCATTCTGGATTTCAAAAGTGGATTTATGGTCATACCAGCATCGCTTGAGCGGCTTCTGTTTCTCCTTTGTCTATTCTACATACTCTTCTTCGGAACTTGTACGCACAAAGCATGGCGCATGCGGGCATTGAATTGGAAACGCGACGGGGGCGCTTTATACATGCATAGACGGACTCTCGGATTGGCGTTTGCTCGAGATTAGGATTGATGGAGAGCAAGTAGGGCTTGGTGTCAGGGCATACGGTTGATACCAGTGTTGCTGCCGTTTGTATGTGGATTACGATGTTCCCTTCGTGGATCAAAATATCGAACTACCGACTTATACGTGTGCTGTTATGGTGTTCAGTGCCGTTGTGCCGGCTTCGTGATTATGGCGCTAGTACCGATTAGTCACCCAGCCTTCCAGAACCGTTTCCCGTTACCAGTACCGACTCCTCCACCACACCTCAACTGGTATGCATGCCCGCGGTCCATGACTGCGCTTCAATCGCTTGCCCACATGTCTGCAAAATCCCGCCCGCCCTGCGCCTCAATCCCCTCACCTCGGGCAGAGCGGCATTGAACACCTCCTTCCCACCCTCCTGAACCCCATCCTGCATACGCTCCTGAAGCTATCCTGCATGTCCTCCAACAGCCAAACCGCGTTTCGCATGTCCGCCAAAAACCAGGCCCCACTCCACGATGCACAATAGCGACCCACCTGCTATTGGTAGAAACAGTGAGGTTCTCGGAGCTCGGCAGCCGCCTTGGGCCTAAGCGAAGACGGTATCGATCATCTCAAACCAGAAACGTCGCGTCGGCCCCTACCAGGTGGACGTGACAGCCCTGTCAGAAATGTCGCGAAGTGTTTTGGTCGTGAACTGGTGATACAGGGAGGTGTGCCTTATTGCCGTTTACGCGCCTGAGGGGGTATGATCTCACGATGGTAGGTTGTGGTTTTTATATAAGAGAAGGGTGTGGCCGCCGTTGTGGGTTTTCGAGTATCGATCTTTCATCGGTTTCGTCGTTCGCCCTAGTCAGTCTTTACACTTACGTTCTCTTTTTCGTTCTTTTGCTTGCCCTCCGGTTAGGGTATTTTACCTTACTTTTATTGAACGCTCGTTGATTATCACTATACCCATTCAACGTTGTTACATATTTCTTGTCGTATACATACAAGACGGAATCTTCGAAGAGGAAAACGAAGATGTACGCCCACGCCTTCACCGCCCTCACGCTCCTCAGCGGCCTTGTCATTGCTGCTCCTACCGCCAATATCATACCCCGCCAAGGCAATGCCTGCTTCATCATCGGCAACGAGGCACTCCCAGGCGAGACGGCCACTGTAGTCCAACAAATCCAAGACAAGGTCACCTGCGACGCCAACGCAAAGACAATTGAAAACGTCCCCGACGTGACCTCAGGCGGCCAAACCTTCTCCAAGATCAACTTCGCTGCCTCTGGTCAAAAACCAATGGAATTCGCCACCAGCACCTTCTTCACCGCTGTCCCGCTCGCCGACTCCAACCTCGAAGCTTTCCAGGACGCACTCAATGTTTACCTCGCCACTGAGGCCGGTCTACGCAGCTCGGGAGGCAACTTTGGTATCATCAAGGCGCCTAAGTTCTTCCTCGAGATGCAGATTTCGAGAATCCAGACTGCGAGGGGCCAGCCGCCTACCGACCCAGCTCAGCAGGTCGACCACTTGAGGGACAAGGTTATCGAGAACAACATCAGAGAGGATCAAGCGGTTATGGATCAGGTTACCCAGTTGGCTACTCAGCTTTCGTAGGGGATGCAGAGGTTTTTCTTGGAGCAGATGAGGAAAGATACTCAACATGAATGCATGTAGTCAAGTCATCAATTAATCATATGATACCCGTCACCTTTTGTTCACAACTTGCTCTCGCTACTACCACCAACCTTCCCCCTCCATCCCGTCAACGTAGCACCGCCATCCATCTCAACGGCATTACCCGTGATATGCGCACTCGCTTTACTGCTCAAGAACAAGACCAGCCCACCAAAGTCACTCGGCTTGCCAATGCGGCCAGTCGGCTGTCCCGCTGTCAACGCATCTGCGAATTTCTCCAGCCCAAAGTTCGTCATGCGCGAAGGGAAGACGCCAGGGCAAATGACATTGACCATAATGTTCTTCGGGGCTAGTTTCGAAGCTTGCATCTTGGTGAGGTGGATGCATGCTGCCTTTGCTGGGCCGTCTAGAAAGTTCGTTAGTAAAAAGCAGTCTGGTAAAGGAAGTTATTGGAACGTACAACTATAAGTCCCAGTCCCCGGATTACTCAACCCCCCACCCTCCCCCGTCGTAACATCCACAGTCGTAATACCCGCCATACTAGCAATATTAATAACCCTGCTTGGATTATGCGCATCCGCTCCCTTAGCCAACAACCCCTCACACTCGACCGTCATATAAAATATACTCTTCACATTCAACGCATACAGCTTATCCCACGCATGTTCCGGATAGTTGTAGTAATCATCGCCCCAGCTCGCGCCCGTGTTGTTCACCAGCACCGTCAGGCGGTCCGTTTGCTTCTTCAGCTCCGTGCAGAGGGCGAGGCAGCCGGCTTTGTCTTTTAGGTCTGCGACGATGTAGGAGCATTTTCCGGGGCCGAGGGCGTTGAGGCGGGTGGTTGTGGAGGCGAGTTCGGATTCTTTGCGGGACGCGATGAAGACGCGCGCGCCGTTTTGGATGAAGGCTTGCGCGGCCATTTCGCCCAGGCCGGTGGCGCCGCCTGTTACGAGGACGACGTGCGAGGTGTAGTCGAAGAGCGTGCTGACGCGCAGGTCGTCTTTGGAGGCGGCGTGCGTCATGGTGGGTGGTGGCGTGGATGGAGGGCTGTAGGGTGGCTGAGGTGGCAATGGGTGTAGAGGTGAGGTCGATTGACTTTAGGCAAGCTTCAAGGAGGTACGTGTATATGCACAGAGATGCGCGGACGCGTCAAGGTCGATTCAGCCATGCCGGCAGAGCTGTGGTGGAGAGATGGCATGGACCTCGGCATCTTGAAGCTGTTTGCGGGGTGCTAGCGTCACTTGCGAACTCCACTATGACCATTCGAGATATCAGTACGTTTTCTTCGATTTGCACTCAACCCGTAATGATGTGATTCTGAAACGTCTTTACATACGGACCTCCCATCGTACCACTCTGGAGGCGTCCTCTTCGCTGCTTGTTCCACGCTCGGCTTTCAGGTTGTCCAGCATCTCTACTGGGTTCTCTACGAGGTATACCCTACTGAGTGTTATTCCACGAGTGTAGACAGACCGAGGATTTGTCCAGCTACCAACACCAAAGACCCACTTTGGGGGTCGGTCCTCTGGGTTCTCTGCACAGTTAGGGTCATGCTTGATCGCTTCCTTGAGGTATCCAATGGCGGCGTCTATATCCCCAAGGGCTTTGCAAACGACATGTGTCCTGAAGCTCAACAGAGATTTGAGCTTGCCAACTTCAAGCTGCCATGTTTTTGAAGTTAGCGACGCTTCTTGCGCACACATGGGCTGATCAGATAAGAAACTGATCATCTCTTCAGCATCCTTGCGCGCTTTCTGGAGCAATGCCACACTGTCGGATGAACCAGCTGGGTCTTCCTCTTTCGACTCCAATATACCTGCGCGATGGCAGAGGGCTTGTATTTCCCCTGCAGCGATGCCGCAAGTCCAGAGCCATAATTCAAGAATCCCGTCTCTCGATGTGTCGTTGCGTATTTCGTCGAAAAGATATGCATAGGCCATACGAGTATGCTTGATATCGTCCAGATGCTCAAGGCAATCAATAACAGGCCGCTCTTTCATCAAATGCTCTCTTAACTTCATGGTCCATGGAGAAGTGATCATGTCATTGGTGCTCACAATGTGAAATCTAAGGCGGGCCTTCGAAATGGGAAGCAGCAGAGGTTCAATGAGGATCTCTTGGGCTCGTTCAAGCGTGTGTGAGAACGTCTCAAAAAGCGACACATATAGGGAAGTGCTTCCAGACCTGACGCAGGTTAAGATCCGCCTTCATGGTATAATGAGAACTGCAATTACTCACCGATTTTGATGACCTTTGCCAATACGGATCAAGATCGGCAGGCTCGAGGCTGGCAGCAAGAAACACGATGCATTCTCCATAGGATTGGGGTTGCGGTTGCGGGTCGTGTGAAATTCGAGTTCCATTGCCACAGGAAAACCTGAAAAGTCCTTCTTAACAATCTCATCGCAGGATTGCAGTTGTGAGATAAGTGGTACGCGCGGGCAATCCACCCGGCGGCCGCTGGAATACCTTGGACACCCGGGTAGCGCGGGTATTGTTTTGTCGAACATGCTCCGAAGAAACCATGGGTGATTACTCTTAACAACCACGCACAGTTGACGTCTTAAAAACTGGAAGATCTCTGCGTTGATTTGTCGGCTCAATGTGAGCAGCTTACATAATGGCGATGAGGGTGCAGACGCCTGGGGAGGTACATCTAAGCGGCGGGTTCTTCGACCTACACTTCCCGTCTCGGCATTTGAATGATACGGATCGTTGTATCCAGCTGGAGTGTAGGTCAAGAGCTCGTGATAAACCTGCTCACGGATTGTGATCGGTAAAGTCTGGAAAGTGTTCATTAAGAGAGGCTAGAAGTGGTAGTAGTGTCGTGAAGAGAAAGTGGTGTCCCTCATAACTCGAGAAGAAAAGGCGATGTAGCCTGCAGCTATACCTATAAGGCTCTAGCGTGGTCCCAACCGTATGATTAGGCAACCAAGATCCTTAGACTTGCACGTCTGACAGATGACTTACATTGTACCTAAATTGGGCTGTAGCGATATGTACCTCTTATCGAATGCTGCAGCTTCATGCAAGGCGAAATGACGTGTTGTGCTGCGCCTAGGTAATTACCTAGGTACAAAAGGGCCACTCGCGTCCACCATGGTTATAGTCAAAACACTTGCTGCTCACCCAGGTAGGTAAGCGCAATGATCCAACTACCTGTCGAACTCCAACGGGGTTGCATCGATTTCCTTTCCGTCGATTTGGCGACACTTAAGGCCCTTCGCCTAGTAAACAAAGGATTCCACGAATTGGCCTCCGAGAGTCTATTCCGCACAGTGTCCTTCACGAACGTTGGAAACAGCCCTGAAAGATTCTTGAGTATCATTCATTCCTCTTTACGAAAGCATGTACGTCATGCCATCATCAATACTTCCGAGAACCCCGACGGGGAGCAGAATGAGGAGGACGAGGATGAGGAGGAGGATGACGACGATGACGACAACGGGAAATATCTAGCGGATGGACCAGACATTCTCTGTACCTTCGCCGACGCCATCACACAACTTCCACAGTTGGAGAGTTTGAAGCGGATAGAGCTAAAGTTCTCGAGCATTTGCACCGTGGAGGACTACACTCACACCAGATACAGAGATACTATGCTGCAGATTAGAGAGGATGAGAGTTTCCGGACGAAGATCCAGGACCTTTGCTTCGAGGCTTTGGCGCAAAGCGAGAGCTTCGAGAGTCTTACGATCCAGAACTTGCAGGACGCAATGCCTCAGGATGTCATGGAATCAAAAAGCTTCCTGGCCGTCAGAGAGCGCTTGACAGAATTGCGACTGAGAATTCTGAGGTACCACGTGGAACCGGAGGGTGGACCGAGCACCTATGCAGATGCGCAGCACAATGGTCTAAGGCGATTTCTCCCGAAGTACTGGTTGAAGCCCACCACCAACCAACTCACACGGTAAGTCTCTCTGTACAAGTCTGGAGCTATATGTGAGTCATGTTCTGATTTTGCGAATCAATCTCTAGTCTTACGCTCGATTGCGACTGCCTCTGGGGCGTCTGGCCTTTCACGGACTTCCGAGAGGTCGAACCGTTTCCACACCTCAAGTCGTTGTGTTTTGGCAATTGGACCATCGCGCATGACTGGCAGGTCGACTGGATCGTCGCGCATGGAGCTACACTGGAAAGTCTACTTCTTTGCGGTTGCGGTGTTGTTCGTTATCTGGCTCTGCTCGACAGGGGAATGAAAGCGAACTTCCCTCAGCTACTTCCACAAACGGGTGACGACGAGACTGATGACGAGGATGACGAAGGGAGTGATGATGAGGGTGACGATGAGTTTGACAGCTTCGGTCTTTCTTATGGACCTGAATGGGAGGTTGAACCGGATATTCGTTGGCATCATCTATTCGAACGCTTCCGAGTTGAGCTCGAACGTCTTCGATACTTTAAGTTGGGCTATTCGCAGGATTATCCCTTCGATAGCCGCTACAACACGCGGTCCGATCACCCCATGAATGCTTACTACTCCCTTGACTGTCGCAAACCACCGGGGTTCGAGCCAATCGGGTGGGACATCTACAAGCCTGAACTTGAGGAAGAAGCTCAGCGTAGGCAAGAGACAGACCTTGAGGAGGAGGATCGGAGTGCTCTGGCTGCACTGATGGAGACAGTGGAACAGCGGGCTCACAAGGATAATTGAAGTGAACCATGAATGGTCCTAGACGGTAGCCGAATATATCTTGGTATACTCATTGCTAAAGGCTCCCGTACTCCGCAGTCGCGCAGTATTTTCCCTGAAAAGAAACTGAGAGCATCTTGCTAGGTTGACTAGACTCGCGTAAACTGACATCGAAGACACCGGGTACAACCATCGGCCTTCTGAACTGCACCTCCATCCATGAGGAAGTGCTGAACGGTGACTGCGAGCTTCTCGAGTCCTTCAGTTGATGCAAAGCTTTAGCGACTGCATGATTTCCGTGCGCAATCTTTCCAGGTAGACCAAAGGTCTTCGCCGCCGCTCCCGATAGGTGGATGAAGTTGTAGTCCTTGCAAATCGCAGCCCATTTCAGCGGGTCGTCGACTGACATTGATACCTGTGTGGTGCTCTCAGACATCTGTGGTATCGCCATGCTAGACCTGGTCTCATGTGAACTGTTCCGGATTTTCTTGGACTGTGACTTTCTTAGTTCTAGCATGGTGAAGATCTGGCGAAAGATGATATCCATAGTTCCATCCTTCCTACCAGTGGGAGTGGTGATCACGACCTCCAGATCCCACTCGATGCCTCGTTTTGCTGGTCTTGGGTGTTTACTTGCAATCGCCTTCAGACGGGCTGTTCGTAGATCTACGAGTCTCGACAGATCGCATAGGTCGGGGCGTAATAATTCGAACCTATTGCGCACGTTGACTGCGCCTAGTGGATTGATGGGACACCAGGGACTGGCGAGTAGAAGTAGCATTGCGGGCTCGGTCATGGCTGAAAGAAACAGCATAAGGTGCGGTGCTGAGAGCTTTTCTCCTGTGCTGCTTGTTCCTCCAACTGCTGATTGATATCGAACAACATCGTCTGCATCTAGAGTGAATGGGGAGTCAAGCTCTAATGCTGAAAGCTTGATGCGCGGAAACCCGGGAATTGCGTAAAAGATTGATTTTGCTATCATTGACAGGATCGCTAGCACGACCTCCCCTGTGCGAAGTGAGGCTGGGGAAAATGCCAGAGTGACTCTTCTTGGGCTAAACAGCAATGGCGTCAGGCGGTACCCGAATGAGACGAGCACGCCGAAAAACATGCCCGATATGAGAAATAGTGACATGTTGGAAGGCTTGCGATGAATCCGATGCTCCTAGGTACATGTGCAGGTCGTGGATGCCAGATGCAGAGGACCTCGGGAGTGCCTCCGTAAGTAGCGGCGCCGATGACGTCATCACTGATGTGGAAGGCACAAGCGCAGCACCCAGCCACCTTCATGCCCACTGCAAGTGCCACCCCTCTCCATCGTGCCAAAAAGGCAAGAGAGTCAAAAGTTCTCCACGACGAGCGACCTCGTCCGTTTTCTCAATCTCTTCGACCCAGTCCTGTCCATCCAAAGTCCATCCGTCTTCGCGAGGCCCATGACGGCGCACCTTTTCCAACACTTCCGATGCCCACAGCTTGGGCACTTGTTTCCGGCGCGTGCGAACAACCATATTCTATCACCTGGAAAGATTAGCAAGCCTCGATGCGTACCATAAAGGCAAAATACAGCGATGACAGCACCAGCTGTAAGTAGCGTCTGGGTTTGCATTGCTTGTAATATTTCCCATCATCTGCATGCGGTCTCTCCAAAATCTGGAATGATTTCGATCCCTAGTCTTGCTGAGCTGGGAAGGGCGAAAGCCGCAACTAAGAGGCGTGTACAATCCGTTCAATGGCTGCGCCTGTGCAATGAAGCGTTGCCAGATTTGAAGACACTAGAGTTTGGTGCGTATGCTGAATCCCAATACTGCACCGCCGAGCATGATTTAGAGCACTGGAACAGCGCCAGAGCTTGCGCTGTCAGCTTGCGTTGCTTTGAGATTCACAGATCATGGCCAACACGATCCGTAAACGCTGGATGTCCTACGATTCATTGTATCTCGTGTACCTGACAGCTAAGCTGTCGAGATGCGCTGTTCTTGGGCCTTGATTTCTCGAGTTCTCTGTCACTCGTAATGGACTTAGGTAGGGCCGGACTGGGAAAGCGAGATTATGGTGTATGGTATGACACCATGTTCTGAGGGCCAGGAAACTGACAGAGAAGACAGGCCTGAACGAAGAGCCTTAGTTGTTGAAACTTTGAGCTTGCGAATTGCTAATAATTCTAGGCCGTGCAAAGGCGCTTCTTCCCAGCGCTACGGTGATCGCCTGTACATGTTGGCTCCGACTAACAAGAAGAAGAGGTCGAGGCTAGCCAATTGTATTAATGGTGCCAGCACGCGAGGTGATGCACATATACGGCTGGGAGGGCATGATAAAAGAACTGACCAATAAGCGCATGGGTTGAGACCAGGGAACTACTACGCCGCAATCTTGCAGAGGTCGGGACCCGATGGCTACGTCCAGCGCGTAGCCCATTGCGCTTCTCCAGATTTCAAGAATAGCTAAATGCTCTGCTGCGGCTCTCGACATGGTCAATCAAATATATTCGAAGAATAGTCACGGAGTGACGCATTTAATGTATTGAAAGCGCTTTGTTCTTTGATACGTTCGTGATGGGGACGTGCTGATACTGCCCCCAAAATAAGTTACGGCATAGGAGGGGATTGTCTTACACGCATTAATCCGAAACAGCTCAGTTGCTATAATAGGACAGCATGTCATAGAGGGCAGCGCGTACGTCGATTGTGTTTGCTTAACTCCTCTTTGCTTCCATCTCAGCCATTCACGACCAGACTTCTGGAGAGTCCACTATGTTTCCCAGGAAATGGAGATGGAGTCTCATCCTTCTCGTTGGCGTCTTGTTGTTTGCAACCATAGTCTCTTTTTCGGCTCAGTTCACCCCATCGAGGACTTCCATCTTCCCATCCGGCCACCATGAACATGCTCCGAGCTCACATGCGTGCCCAACAAAGCCGCCTTTGCCCGCAATAACTCCGGATACGGGAGATCGCTTCAACTGGAGAGCAATTCCGAGTCGACACCCAGTTGATGAGTATGCGCAGCTATCCTCACAAAAGCCTTTGTCTAGGAGCACTTTGCAAAGGCCTCATCCAAAGTCGTCAGATGCCGAAGCGATTGCTAGTCGGCGAGCGGCTGTCAAGGAGACCTTTCAACGATGCTGGAAGTCTTACAAAGAACGCGCATGGATGAAAGATGAACTGGCACCCATGTCGGGCCAGCCTCGAGATACCCAATTTGGTGGCTGGGGAGCTACGTTAGTCGACTCACTAGACACTTTGTCAATCATGGGGATGGAAGACGAGTTCGCCGAAGCCGTCGAAGCAGCTCTGAAGATCGACTTCAAACCAAGCGATGATCGCGAGAGTGAGATCAACATGTTTGAGATCATTATACGCTATTTGGGAGGCTTCATAGGCGCTTATGACGTTTCTGGCTGCCACGACACCCGTCTTCTGAACAAGGCTCTCGAAGTAGCAGACATGGCTTATGCGACCTTCGACACGCCTAACCGGATGCCTGTGTCGAGATGGAAACCTGGGAAGGCGGCGGACGGCGAAGAGCAGCTGCCAGCTCTCTCGGTACTCATAGCTGAAGCCGCTTCCGCTAGTGTGGAGTTCACTCGCCTCTCCCAAATCACAGGGGATATGCGGTATTTCGACGCCATCTCTAGAGTTACGGACGTACTTGATGAGCAGCAAGGGTCCACAAAGCTTCCTGGAATGTGGCCGATCAGCGTCGATATGCGGACACCCAACCTGACTTTCGACGCTTTCTTTGGGCTGGGTGCCATGGCCGACTCGGCATTTGAGTATCTACCGAAGATGTATCAGTTGCTCAACGGGAATGAGCCGGCTGGTCAGTATCGCAAGATGTACGAATACGCGATGGATACGGCGATAACGCACACCATGTTTCGACCCATGGTGGAAGACAAAGCAGACATCTTGATCGCAACCGCGAAACATGATGGCCCTGATGGACAAAGAGACAACACTGGGCAGCACCTGGTGTGCTACGCTGGAGGTATGCTGGCGCTTGGTGGGCGGCTCTTCGACAACCAGACCCATCTCGACGTCGGACGGAAGATCTCTGACGGTTGCGCGTGGACGTATAAGAATGCACCGAACGGCATTATGCCTGAAGTGTTTTCGATGACCCCGTGTCCGTCGTGGTCAGAGTGCGATTACACACCAGGCGCAAAGCCATTCAGCGCAGTCCACGATGGCCGTTATATTCTCCGGCCAGAAGCAATCGAGTCGATCTTCTACATGTTCCGGCTCACGGGTGAGACCAAGTATCAAGAGATCGCGTGGGAGATGT